ACCTTCTAGGTGTTTTGAGAAAAGGTGTGAGCGCTCTTAATGGAATTCCCTGTTGTGGCAGGGTCACAGCATTAGAGCTGACAGCACTGTCCTCCCCATAGAGATTCATGTTTTGTAAAGATGACTATTGTAGTTACGACTCCAGTGTCCAGTACTTCTAGCTCTTACCTAGTTATAAATAAAACTAGAGTAAATATTAGCAGTGGACTAGTAAATAACTAAAAAAAAAATCTTTAAAAGTTCAATAATTTTCTTTAATTTAGCATATTTTTACTTTCACAGACTTCAGATGGTCTCCAGTATAGTTTGCAAAATAAATTCAGGAGATTTTTAATGTGGAAAGAAAGGTGCAATATTCTTGTTATTCCTAAACAAGCTTTTTTGTGTGCTCGTTCTTGTGAACAAACATATAGATTTGACATTCCTCTGGGAAAAAATAATGACTAAAAAAGGTTAATAGATGAGTCAGTTGCAGACAGAAATCATGCAGCTATGAAAGGTCGTTGGAACTCGATGATCTTTGAGGTCTCTTCCAACCCAAACCATTCTATGATTCTATGATTCTATGCTTTTTAAGTTTTTTTTCAAGGTGCTTGCAGAGATCATAGAGGAAAAGATCTAAAAGACTCCCCTTTAAGACTAACACACGGAAAAGTGTGGTGACTAAAGTGTATCTGTTTCTGCAAGGGCAGAATGGGCAGGTTTTTTGATAACAGTCATAGAAGATTTCTGTTGCACTTGTCTTTGTCCCTGGCAGAGAACGGGTGGTGGGAGCTACCACAGTGTCTCCTCCCTCACCAGGCTTAGCCTTCGTGGCGTGGGAAGGAAGGAATTTTGAGGGTGTTGATTCTCCTGGTTGTCTCCACAAATCTCCTCATAGCCCAGGTTTAACTTAGGCGAGTCCTTTTACCTAGGTAAGATCTAGAACTTTGTGAGATCTTCAGCTGTGAGATTTTTTTAATGTATAAAATATGGTTTTTTAATACTCTTGACGCTTCAAAATGCAGCTTGCCTGTATGATCCAATACACACTTTAAGGGTTGAAAAACAGAATGCAAATGAACAGACTGTCTATTTTGAAATTTTCTCTTTTGTAGCGTTCTCATATTTTGTTTGGATTGGCAATGTTGTTGTCTGGGAAGACACTTGAAAAATAAGTGCCTCACATAGTTACTTTGGCTGTTGTACTTATTTTATGTAATCGGTAGAAGATGAGAAAGCAGAAGCAGTGTGCATGTGTCCTTCTAAAACCTGTGAATCTTTAAATGAGTAGAAATAATTGGTCCCTCCTATGGCAATTGGTGGCAGTGCCCAGTAGTTTACAGTGGTTTGGTGATTAGAACTATAAAGGATTAATTTTCCATGCAACACTTCTGAAATGACTTGTAATACACAGCTATTCTTTGTTGCAGAGCTCCAGGGCTGTTTTAACCTGTGTTCTAAGGAGAGAGACTAATTCAGGGAAATGGTCCTGCACGTGCAGGCCTAATCTGATCTTGCACAGCTGTCAGTCCGATGCAGCTGGAAATTATGGGGAAGATGATCCTTAGGCATCTCCTTTTTTCCTTTATGCTTCGGAGGCAGGCTTGCCAAGGTTTCCTTGGAAGTGAGCAAAAAGGCAAGGGTATGCTAAGATCTTCCCACAGGGTTATGAAGGTATATATCAGTTCTCTGAGTCTTACAAAGGACTATGGTTTGCATAGAGGGTTGATGTACCTGGGACAACAGGAGGGATTCTGCCACCTCCCCTCTCCTGTCCTCCCTCTCTTGTGGAAATTCATCACTGCTTGGGGATTGGTTCTGGTGTTTCTGAGAGATCGACAGCCACAGTTTTAGTAGGCTGTGCTTTAATGTGGACCAAAATTCAGCACTGCTTTTCCCTGTTGCCTCAGGCTGCAATATCTTAAAAGGTTTAGTAGTGCTAGACAAGGAGGTGAGCCTGTGTGGAGAACAAACACACATGCAACTCCCAAGGGAAACTGGTGCAGGTACAAATACGGTCCTAGGATAACTGAATTGATGAAGAGGGAAAAACACAGTAAATTAAAATCGTAGCAAGAATGACTTAGACCCAGTGTGGCAATGGAGTGAGAGTAACGTAATAACCATGGAGGGAGAATGCTAAATTAAATTCAAATTTACAGAAGCATGAGCAGAGAGACATCATTTTGTTTAAAAATCTCCTCCTCTTGCCCTGGTACAATTATTTCCAGCAGTCCTCTCTTAATATCTGTCTTTTCCATCATATATGTTATCCTCACATTTACCAAATATGCAAAACCAAAAAAGCAGTGCCAATCTCCTACTTACTGGAAATTATTTGTCTATTGAATATTGTGCTAGCTTCCCACAGTATTGCCTGATCACTAAAATATGTTTGGTTACTGCACATTCTGTTTAAATATTCAAGATTTTTTATGTCTATACCTTCGTAATATGTATGTGTTACATCAGAATAAAGTCATACTCACCCTATTCTGTTCAAAAAAGTAAATATGCATAATGTATACTTCCTTGATTAAATTTAGAGTTAAGTATGTCAGCATTCTGTCAAATCAGCGCTAAGCGTCCTCTAACTTCCATACCTATAAAAGGTGGTGAAACTGATAGTGTGGGCTGGACAGGGCAAGAGTGAATTGAATGTCAGTGAGGAGCTACCTTAATTCTCAGGCAAATGCCAAAGCCATGATAAATCTCCTTCCCCATCCTGCCAGGTCCATAGCAGTAGTTCACAGTGAGGGTCCTGTCCTCTCTGAGCAGGTTCCTTTGGAGACTCCACATGTGAAAGGTTTCATGTTTGATACAAAATTTACTTATTTCTGATTTTCTGAAGTTACTACCAAGGAACATGGAGGACCAGGTGCTCCCAAAGGGACGGGAGCTGGGACCTATGGGCAATAACCTGACTGGTGTGACAGGAGCCTCACTGGCTCATGGTGATGAGGCAGGTCCACAGGGTGGGATCAGGCCCCAAAGGAGGTGACCAGTCAGACATAGCCCTGGGACAACTACATGGGGCCATGGGCACAGGCCAAGGCCAGGTCAGGATGCCAGCCCGAGGCATGATTCAGTATGTATTTGAATCCCAAAACAAGTGAAAATGAGACTGAGCAGAGTAGAGCAACTGAAACATAAAACTGAATCACTTTATGAAGTGTTACTTCTTGCCTGACGCCCTCATATGCTCACTGTCATGATGCTGGGCATTCCCAGCTGCTGAGGAGGAATGTGTGGGTTGAAACCAGCTCAAGTCTGTTGCTCTTTTCGCAGTTCTTTTTTTTGTTGTTGTTGTTTTTTAGTATTCATGGGGCACCTATGCACGCAGACCCCCAGAGCTGGCCTGGCGAATTCAAGAAGCATTGGCACCTCTGTTTTTTAATTTGGGGACAAATAGTTTCAGGGCTGGTTGGTTCACTCAACTCATTTAGCTAGAACAGACGTCACCCTCTGGTCCCCTTGGTGCTCAGTTCAGCTTTATTTGCAATATCTGTGGTCAGTCACTCCATGTGCTCTTCCCTGACCTGTTTTGGTGGTACAGACTCCTTGCTGAAGCTCTGTTCCCGTAGAGCTGGATAGGAAGTTGATTTATTCCCCTACTACAAACCAAAAGTATCTCTGTTTACAGAACACGGCATGTTTTTATTTGTGTAGCAGATTACTCTGTCATTCTACAGCTGTATGTTTCTCCTCTTACCTCCCACCCTTATTTTAAGGAATTAAAAATAGGATATTTATATGCAAACTAGATAAACACCAGTTCAATGCTGTTGGATGCTGGTGTGCTGTGACTTACCCCTTCCATTTTTAAACCATTCTCTAGCAATAGAGCAGCTTTTCTAGAAGCTAACTTCTCAGCAGTGATACCAATTAATTTTATTGGGTTAAATTTGCTATTACTTGGTTCCTCTACTTGTCAAAGTAGTACCTAATAGTATGCTGCATGGTGAATCACCTTTAACAAAGAGCATTGCTCACTGCCAATTTAAAGGAAAGGGAGAAACAGCCATAAGCTTCTCAAAAATATATTGTAACCAAGCACCAGTATAGCTTTTAATGGGTTATTTTAATGTCAATAAAGTCTGGAAGAGGTGTCTTTTCAGTCTGATCTGGAGACAAAGTGTCTTTTTTTAACTCCTGAGTTTGTGTGGATTTGCCAGTGAGGAACTCACTTAACAGGTGTCTTCATAACTTTTTTCATTCCAGGAGCCTGGAAACTTTCTTGTTGTTTTTATATAACTTTCAATGCATATTAGCACTTTGCCATAATCCTGAAATCAAACTTTGATGTTAAACCGATAAATAGTTTGATCACTGGAACTGCAGACTAAAAATACATGATAAATCTTTAGCAGTGATATTAATTAAATATTGGAACAAATTACCTTGAGGTATGGGCCTCTCCACCACTTAAAGCTCCCTGTCTTCCAAAGAGGTAGGATGCAGAAATGGCTTGTTGAGACTGGGCCATTCTGCTCCTTTCTTCTCACAGGACTATTAATCATTTTATCTTAATTTCTGTTAGATGCCCCAAGCTCTGAGAGTAGGTTTTGCTGCCACTTACCAGGTGGATCTGGCAAAAGATGAAATTATGCCTTTAGAAAGTGCTCTCGGGCAGAGTCCTAAAGAGGAGATTCAGAGTTCAATTTTCACTGCATTGCTTAAACCCCAAAATATATATAAAATAGCAACTGAATTTCAGTTTTAAATAACATATTTGGTGTGCAGTGTGCAAGTAGAAAATATGCTATGACTCTTATCTCTTGGTTCTTTTTGAATGCTTGCCATGGTGATGTCTGGTGCAGGCAGAACAAGAACTTGGAGAGTTGGCAAAGAAAGCTGATGTTCCAAATAAGAACTTAAACTTGATATTATCTTACAGACTTTAAAGAGGATTATAAAACAAGAATATTAAAAATGTTAATAAACAAAACTACTTCATGCATGGTTGAGCTGTTTTACAGGAAATAACTCAATTTTAATAATTTCTACTGTTTTTAAAGGCAGCGATGGAGAAGCCAATTAATCATCGATTGTTTGTGACAAGAATTTTGCAGGAATTTGAAAGTGACACATTCTTTCCAGAAATCAACTACAAAGACTACAAACTTCTTACAGAGTAAGTATCAAGATGGATAGTGGTCTTGGGTTCAGATGGAAGACTTAATAATCTACTTTGTATGTGTAAGGGTCCTATTAAAGCCATGTTCTCTTTGAGCTGGAGGTGCTTTTCACTGTATTTTTCCCCAGAGTCATATTGTACTTAGAACCTGGAATTGCACCACACTCAGCAGAGCGGGTGTTGGAACTTGCTGTGTTCTTGAACCTTCCTATCATCTTTACAGTAAAAAATGGCTTTTGTCAGTTTGCTTGAAAAATAACTTTCTTGATGCTTCTCATTTTAGAATTACTCAAATATTTACTAAACTTCTTAACTCTCAGTATGTTGTTATTCAATGGTATTTAACCCCTTTGATAAATTGCTGAAGACAAATTAAATGGGTTTGAGCAGGGAGGGTTGAGCCTTTATAGATTTCTAGGTAACTTTCTGCTCTTTGCTGTAGTTTCTTCTGTGTGATCCTTGTCATATTCCAGTCATACTTTTGTGACCTCTCCAATGAGATTACATCTGACAGGCAGTAGGGAGGCAGCAAAAATTCAAACATCTGCCTCGAGAACTAGCAAGGAAAGGACCTCTTCCTCTTCTTGCTTCTCCTGTTTTGGTTCCCAGCTGGTTGCAGACCAGCAGTGGAAGAAACAGAAAGTATGGCAAGTCAAGCTCTCTGCGCAGGGCACAGGGATGGATTAGCGCTGAGGTGGGAGAGAATAGGCAGGGGCAGGAAAGGAGGATGCAGGAGAGATGAACAAGGTGAGTGGGGAGGAGGAATCACCTTTTTCAACTCTTAACATGTTCTGAACTGCACTCAACATGAACCCACTTTAGTATCCTGATGTCTGACCCAAAGCTCCCTTCTCTCCCTCTTGGCTGTTTCTCAGTTATACACCGGTTTGGGCCAGAAGTTGGCCTTAAAACATGAATTTATAAAATAGCAGATAATTCCCTCACTAATGTGGAAACCTCATAGAGTCAAACCTAGCAAATTAAAATTTCTTTCTCCCTCGGAGTCAACATTGCAGATAAAAAAATCCTCACTCTGTCACAGGGACCTGAAGAGATTTTTGAAAGTGTCTATTAATAAAACCTGTTTTAGTAAATCTGAAATATAAAGGAGCACTTTGAATGGCAGCAGTCAGCTGCTTTAAAAAGCTGTAGTTGACTTATAAGAAACCTTTATATTGCCATTTCCTCTAAACCATCTGAGCAAAGCAAGAAAACCCAGAGGTGTTCCGTATCTTTTCTACTTCTGCAGACGTTTTAAATAACGTGGTGGAGGCTTTAATAAGAATGTTGGGGTTTTTTGATTAAGCCAAAAAGGTGGTGGGGTTTTTTTTGCATCAAAGTATGCTTTCTTGATTTAGAAAGATGTGCATACAAGTTGCTGATAGTAGTTAACATGATTCCTACAAATAGTTTGTGCTTATGTCTGTTGTAAGTATGGTATTTTTATCTCCTTTTTCAAACTACTCTCTTTTCTAATTGATTGGATAAATTACAGGTGACTCATAATGATATTTTTACCTACTTGTTAGCTTTTGCTTTGTCTTCTTCCTGCTGCAGGTACCCAGGTGTCCCTGCTGATATCCAAGAAGAGAATGGCATCCAGTACAAATTTGAAGTGTATGAAAAAGCTGTCTTGGCACAATAAATGAGGTTTTTGGTACTTCTGTGTAAGGGCAGATGTTTTAAATCATGAAGTCTTACTGAGTACAAATATGTATTAAATTATTGAGAGAAAATCCCGCTTTCTAATACAATACCTCGGTGAATGATTCCAGAGAGCACACCCCACACTCTGAATGTACACCTTGAAGTGGAAATATGAGGGTGGTCGGCAGCATGAAGGAGGTAGCTCTAAGGAATGCTGCAACTAGGGTTGTGTGAGACCTTGTGTTCATCTTTACAGTCCATGGCAGCATCCCTGACAACTCCATGGGTAATGAAAGGCATTAGACTGGGTCAGAACCTTTCTACCTAAACAAAGGGTTGGAGTATCTACTGGTTCAGAACGGCCAACACTAAGAAAGTGTCAGAACTCCTGAGTTTGACTGGGTGGTATATACTTTTGTAACAATCCTTAAAACATGCTGGTGTGGAGGAGAAGGTAAGCAGGCACAGCAAGAGAAGTGGTGTCTGGAAATCTCAGGCAGCACTTGAGGCATACATTGATCCTTCCTGGAAATCCTCTTGTCATCCTAACCCTCCTGGGTACACAGCCTACTTCGGGACTTTTGGCTGAAAACACTGACCTACAAATTAATCTGAGAAAGAATTTTTAACATTTCCATTAACTTCACACCCGTGTTAAGGGCTTGCTGTTCTTATAAAAAGTCGCTATGTCAGTTTGACCGCAACCACTTTGCAGCACAAGAACATAAACACTGCTTTCTTAACAGAAGCTGTGTTCTTGTGTCCCCTCTAAATGTTGTCGGTGCTGATGCAGAGTGTTAATTTGTCAGTGTGAGTTTGAAGAGTCTGTGTGGCGTACCAATTCGGGCAGGGAGTGGGGTCCTGGTTCTGCTTTCATTAGATATAGCCAGTATAATAATGTTTTGCCTTACTGTTCCCTAAAAATAGCAATATACTGGTAGTAACAGTGACACCGTGATTCTGATGGTGTACAGTGCCAGGTGTTGACCAAAGTTTGTTATTGCCACAGCATGACCAGTGATGTTGGTGTGTTGCCGTGTCCTGACCATGGGGTTTGAAAAACCAAACCTCTTTGATAAGAGAAAAGCATTTATAATTATCATCTAAGAACACCTCTTGAATTTTCCATGGCAATTTTGCAACATTTAACTCATGAAAAATGATAAATTTGGCAGTATCTTTTCTGGGTTGTCTTTTTTTCTCTATGTTCCTTTTGAATTCTTAAAAATGTGAGTACTTCCCTGTGTTGATCTTCCTCCACGTGTGGTGACTTTACATCATTTGACGAAGATTGAAGCAACAAAGTTGTATTTGCTTGGGTAATACGGCAAAAAGTCTCCTGTGTTTTAGTTTGCCAACACATTGTGGAAAGGAAAGAAAAGGACTGTTACCAAGGGGATGGTATTTTTTTGAAGACTGTAAGTCACAGTGACCCTGACAAGATAAAAGTAATCTCCCCGAAGCTTTTAATATGTACCAGTTAGTACCAAAAAGCAGGTCGCTGTTGAGAGCTGCACGCAGCTACTCTGCAGAGTACTGTGTTTAATGGCAAGTGACATTTGTTATAAGTGGAAGCAAAGACTTCCTGCGATGCTGGATTTACACTGTGCTGCTGATGCCAACATATGTAAGAGAGTTTCTGCCCCAGCACACATTTGCAGGAGGTTCCCTGGGGCCAAAATGTTTCGTGGCACCACTTGGGTTGCAAAGAACTTTTAACTTGGATGCAAACAAGCCTACTGGGAACATAAATACTCTGACTCTTTGTGGATGGACTTAGTCCTCTCCAGATTTAACTTAACTATGTTCATTTGTCAAATTCTACAACAAATTAAGTCGATTTATGATTCGTGGAAATGAGAACTTTTGAAATAACGCAGCAGTTTCCTACTGGTAACTTCTCAGAATGTATTAATGACACAGTTTTTTCAGTGTGCCACTCTGACAAAAACATGAGGTTTTGTCTGTTTGGGATTTTGTTTTAATAAAAGCACTGCATTTGGACAGCACCTTTTGCATCAGAGCTTTTCAAGATGCTGTACAGATTCCAATCAAGAATAAGGAAGATGCATTTGGTGGTGGGGAAGTTGGGCCCCAGAGAAGTATGGTCATCCTAAGTCCAGGTGTACCAGCCTCTGCAAGGTTAGATGCTTCAAGAAGGTGGATAGGCAGAGGGGTATGAGTCTTTGTGTTCAGGAATTACATACAAAGACTGTTTGCTGACACATGTTGTTTCCAGAGGGTGGTTACTTTATGTGTTTTTTTAAGTCTGTGCTCTTTTAAAGATACCTGAGATTGTCCAAAAACTGGGACAAGCAAGCAGGTTGCTCTCTTCTAAAGGCTGGAGTTACCAGGTGGTGTTTGTAAGGGGCCCTTTTTGGAGGTGATGCTTTGCTGATCGACAGGTTGGTTGAAAAAGCAACAGATGATAGAAAGTAAGTTTTCTGTTCACCTAAATTGCACCTGTTGCACCTGGCACCTCCCCGTTTGTATTTCCCAAAGGAAAATATAAATATTGTATCCTAGAGCTTGCAGGGAAAAACCCTTTGTTCCAAATACAACTTTGCCACGTTTTGTTTACTCCCGTACCTTACTGATGTATGATTCTGTGAAATGCCATAGATTCTCATTATGTCTAGTACGGGGGGAAATGTCATGTTTTTCCCCAGTTCCATGCAGCTAAGTGCAATGAATAGCATAATGAGTGACAATATAATTACCAATCACCAAGAAAAGTATAGTACAGATATAATTTAATCCCCCTCATTCAAGCTTTCCCAGGAACAAAGTGTTCTAAACAGATTAAAAATTTAATTTCTAAGGATAATACTAGTTTTAACAAGATAGCTAAAAACAGAGGGTCTGCATAAGGAGTGAAAAACAAACCATTAATGTTTCTGCTACTTGTCTATTATTCATTTTCTCTCTTACCTGACAGTGGGCATCAAATTCCATTTTGCAGTAGAAAGCTGATGTTTTCAGTAGCGTTATGGCCGCAATGTATTCAAGGACAGAATCGGGAACATTCCGACAACAACTCTCAGTCGTGGAGAGCAATCCATGGAGAAGAAAGGTACACTCAACATAGTGTGGGTTTCCTAATTTAGCAAGCAGAGTATTATTGGTATACATACAGAACACCAGGGGGAAAACAGGAAAGGGAAAATGGCAGTGATTAGTTTATGCATGTTATCTGAGGAGAGCATCAGGAGCACTTGACATGAGATCTTAATTGGGGCCGGGCAACCATGTTGTCTTCATCAGGCTACAGCTAATTTGCCAAGGGCTTAAACCTAAAACCCAAACTAATTCTGAGTAGTTTAAAAGCTGTGCTAAGAGAAGAGGAAGATCTGAGCAGGCAGCAGCTGATTGGGAGAGGGGAGAAGCTATGGGAAGGGTTGTTTGTTAATCAGTGCAGAAAATGAGGTGACTCGAGGTGACAAATGAGGTGGCAAAGCTTGGTTCAGTATGAAACTGGAGATACTTCCCTCGTTATTGAGTTGTGCATTAGCTGTCTCTCCTTGCCCCGGAGGGCTGTGGGAAGGAAGGCTACCAAGCCAGGGTGGGCTGACCAAAAAATCACAAAAATCTTCTGAAGTGGCAGGTACTGGAACAAAAGAGCGGAAATGGAGAAAGAGAGGTGAGAAGAGGAAACTGATGTTTCTTAGAAGGATTACACAGTTTCTTGTGTGAGCTTGCCCTGTAACACTTGTAAGGTGCTGTGACAAAATTTGATTTGTGAAGGATTTTCAGGATCTGAAGGTCTGTGTGACTGCTTTTGTCAGCGATGCTGAAATCCACAGCTACAATTCCTGTCCTCAAGTGCCTGTGTGACATCTGAAAGCAAGAGTCCCACCCCTGAGTGTCCAGTAGCCCAAGGGTTAGCATTGACCCTGGGCTGATGGTCTCCTGCTTCCCTTGGTGGACAGCATACACTTCTGGGATAGTATATGGGAAACCTGCTGATTTTTCGTGGTCTTCAATTAAAAAGACTTGCTTTCTGCTGGCTCTGGGATGATCCTGGGTTGTTCTCTCCTCTGTTTTTTTGTCTGCAGATCATTCTGTCTCCTTTTACATAACATCAAAGCGAAATTTGTACAAGAAGTCTTTTATGAGGTTAATTATGTAGTTGGAAAAAGAACAGACAAGCTCTCAAGAGTCCTATTCTGGTTACATTCTCAAGACCTTTTCCAGGTGACTTGAACAAGGGCTTATATGCCAAAACTTGCCTGTCTATCTCCAATTAAATTGGGTGGTTTGATAAAGTAGATTATTTCGCCATGTAAATCTTGTTTTGCTTATATCTTTTAATGGTCCTGGCTTCAGCAGTTGTGTGTCACCTTCAGCTCTCAAGCTGCGGTCTTCTCAGTTCTGTCTGTTCAGCTGTCCTGTTGGATTGGAAATTTACAGAAATTCAGAGAATTGTTCTGATCAAAATAAGTAGGTATTTCAAATAGAGTGCTCTTAAATATGTGCTTATATCTGACTAAGGTGGTAGTAAGTGTTTTTCCTGAAATAGCGCCATATATTTTGCCTGGTTAAGGAAAACTTTAGGTATGAAATTAAATATTTTGCTAAGTGATGTCTGCTATGAAAAAACAGTAAATGCCAAAAAAGTAAATACCGAACCTGAGAGGACAGGAAATGGTTGGTACACCATTATTCACCGAAGCCTAAATCAATGTCTTTTCCTTCAGCAATTCAGTTTAATGAGCTCCTAATACCAAGCAGAATCTTTTTCAATAAACAAGCCATTATGTAGAAGTCACTTTGGCTATAAATTGCGTCATTGGTTTAATTGAGAAGGACACTTGCACAAAACCAGAGCGTTTGCTCCTTAGAAGCAACATGCTTTTAATGTCCGTCCTTCCTCTGAACTCACAGTGCTCCACACAAGGCCCCCTCTGGGAACACTCGCCCTCGTTTCAGACAGCTGTAGGGGCTGATGAATTACCAGTCCTTGGCTGGAGATCCCTGCTCCACCTCTCAGCTGGATGGAGGGATTGTGCCCATTCCACGAGAGCCTGATGGGTTCCTTTAAATATCCTGTGAAGAGCGATTTTGGATGAACAAAGAGGGTTTGTCTGAA